TGTAAGATGGGCCTTCCCTAAGAGATCCTTTGTAAGATGGGCCTTCCCTAAGAGAAGTTGCATGTAAGCGGTGTTTGTTTAGACACCTTATGTAAATATACCTCTTCATGGGTCATCTTGAAGAAGAATTTCTGAACAAATGCCCCTGAGATGCATCAATATTTTCATCCTCTGGACAGATGACCTAAACTCCCTCATAGATGTCCTCTACAACTTCAACTCTCTCTAGAGAACACTACCATCAACTTCCTGAATACCGTGATCAGGGTTCAGGAGTAAGCAATGGACCCATACAGATAACTACATACAAGAAACCCACAGATCATCATTCCTACCTTCACCATCCCAAATATAGCAAGCCACCTCAAACACACCAAGAAATCTGTTATCTACCCCTAAGCAGGCATTCACATACCACAGAATATACTCTGAGAAGAAAGTCCAGGATATACACTTTAACCCATATAAAACCACCTTCACCGAACAAGGACACTCCACCAGGTAAGTAGATTGCATCAGGGAACAGACCATCCAGATATCCTGAGATGACCTGCTTCAATACAGAAATAAAAACCCCTTCAACCACACACCTCTAGCTGTCACCTACCACATCACACTGGAACCCATACAGGGAATCACCAAACAATTACAACCCATACTTGATGGGGACCACATCCTGAAAGAAATCTTTCCTGAACTCTCTCTTCTGGCCTTCATACAATCCCCCAACCACTCCAAGCTCATCATCAGAAGCAAGCTCCCCAGAGATCAGGACAAACCAACTCAAAATGGCACCAGACCCTGCCAGAACAGATGTAAAACCTGTAGACATATCAACTGCTATGATGATCAACACCCCCCACAACACACCTTTCAAGATCCATTGGTCCTACACATGCCTATCACAATAATGTGGGGGACTTCATCCAGTTCACTAAATGCCCCAATAAAAACTGTGTGGGTGAAACCAGACAATCACTAAGCTCTCAAATGAACTCACAGAGAAAAATGATAGAAGACAAAAACACTTGTGAACACTTTCCACAAAGCGATCACTCCATAGCTGCCCTCTCACTCATAAATCCGATCTATAGCCCACTTAAATCCTATCCCCAGCATTTTTTCCCTTTCCCGACCTATGACTTCACCTTGAATGGTCCCTTGAAATATGTGTTGACTACATATACTAAACAATCTGTTCCACCTTGTATTTAGCTATGACACGGAGTACATTTCCCAGACCTGAAGAGCAGAGTGTAAGATCACAAACTTCCTTCTCTCACCAACAGAAGTTGGTCTAATAAAAGATAGTACCTCACCCACCTTGTCTCTAATTTAAAAAAACCTTTTTCTTATAGGAAGCCCATAAAAGAAACATTCTACTAGAGCAACAGCAACTTTTATAGAAGCTTCTGCAGCTCACCTGCAAAAGACTACTGTAAGATTTGTGAAGTAGCTATGTGAACCTTAAAGCACTTTTTACTGAGCATTACTCTAGATTTGGCAGTAGGGAAAAATATGGGAACTGAGCAACATGTTGTATATGTCTTTAATATCATGATTTCACTGAATTTGGGGTTATTTAAAGTCCATGGCCCATGGACTCCCAGACTGAAGACATGTGGAGAGAGAAATATGCAGGTCTATGTACATTCTCACCTGCTCAGTAAGTAATATTGAGGTATTGCTGTATTTTTTACTTGTTTCAGATCCAAGTGTAACAAATCTTAGGAGAAAGAGAGTTAATGAAATGCACCAAATCACTAGTTCCCAATTGTAGTGACAATCAAGGAAGATCTCATGCACATGAAGCAACTGAAAGTAAAGAGAAAAAGCAAAATTAAGAGTTATTGAACTTCAAAATAAAGGTTAATGCTACAGTAAGATAAAAGAACTTTAGTTCCGAATATTTTTTTTTCTTGTAAAAAGTATGGATCTGGTTTTTACTCTATAATAGACTTTTTAAATTAATTTATATTTCAAAACCAACATTCTATTAACAGAGATAGGTTTTCATGTAAGGACTGAGCAGTCCTAAGAGTAGTTTAGAAAGTTTTGGTCCCTTTAGCATGTCAGTAAAGCAAAAAAAATATTTTAATACAAAATGAAGAGGTTTGAACACCTTAAGTTATCGCATTTGCTTGAAAACAGCAACATACTTATCACTTGGATTAAAAAGAAAACTGAATCCATATAAAGTTGCTAAACTTAAAATTATGTTCATATTAAAATATGTATGATTAACAGTACGATTTTGGTATGGAGGTCATGGTGTTCACAATAATAATGCATCTGAATAAAAACCGGGACGAGCCTGTCCCATAGGCTGAACCCAACTCCACATGTGCCAGAGACAAGGAGGTTGGAGAGCCAAAGAGCCACTCTCCTCTCGCCCACCTCCTTTTTAAAACTAGACTGCAAGGGAAAGTGCTGTGGCCTGATCCAGCTGTCCAGCAGCCAGGTCCCACTATATGTTGTTCCATGTGCTGGTAATTGGGCTCTCATCCGCCAGTTGCCGAAACCATGGCAGTACCCCTCTCTAGGTGCTGTAGACCATCTGAATCCAGGAAGAGGGACAGATGTGTCACCCAAGGGCCTCAGGCTCACCAGCAGGGAGAGTAAGGTAAGGAGTGGGCAAAGGGGAGCAGGGCCTCCAAGAGGGTCGGGCTAGTGGAGCGGGGCTCCCTTGAATGACCTTTCCGTCATTTATCTTTTTTTCTCCTGCACCTCTGCCATGAAATTTACTATAAGTTTCCATGCCAAAATCATAGCCTTATTTAGATTATATACCAGGAAAAGGCAGTGAAATTATTTTTGGCTAAAAAGGAATGGAAAAACGATGGCTAGTCGATTCAAATGACAGGGCTCCTGGTGGTTAGCTGTAGACATCCAAGCAAGTGTTTACAGTAAATATTAGGCTATATAAACATAGGTTTGCTTATTCCACTAGAGGGCAGGCTAATACTAGCACACTTAATGTAATCTTTCCTGAAGAGTTCTGTGTAAGCTCTCTCACCAACACAAACTGGACCAATAAAAGATATTACCACACATCTTGTCTCTCTAATATCCTGGGACCAATATGGCTACAATACTACTGCATTTCCTATTTCTCACAGAAATCAGGATGGCAATTTATAGCAACAGAACGAAAGGAATAGGAGACAGTATACAAACACCCAGAATGCAAATAATTAAGACACTATTAAAATATCTCACTGAATAATATTATATTATACATTTAAAATCCCCAATTAACCCCTCCAGATTAATTTAATTAAACAAAGTGCCTGCAAAAGCAGGTTTTTGACAGTGAATGAAAAAAATTATAACAGAGATATGAAAACAATGTCATAGTTTATTTACTTTTAATTTATACTCTTGGTAGAATACATTTAGCCATACACTGGTGGTTAAAAAGTTAAACTTCTAAAATGGATAAATTGAGTTATAGTAGAAATGAATCTTCTGAAAAGGCACTAACCATATGATAGTTATTTTCACTGTATATCTTCCAGCCTGGAAGGCTTGCTTATAAAGTCTAACATTTTTAAAGAAGCATTGTAAAGTCTTGGCTGCCTTTACATAAATGAGGTATCCTCACCTGAGCACAGCAGGTAAATACAACTGAAATAGTCAATAAGAAGGCAGATGAAACTATTACATCGACTGACCGCTGAGGACCTCGCCGCTGAAAATAAGGGAAACATATTGAGTGAAAGTCTCTGTAGTAATTGACCAAGAAACTTTGTAGATCTAGTCAGGTTCACACCCCCAGCATAGGCTGATTATGGCTCTCAGTGGCATAACCTAGAACTTTAAAAACAAAATGTATTTTAATTTTACAGTGTAGCTACACATTAATATTTCCTGAGACAATGCATCACCAATGAAGAAGAAAGGGGAAGTGGGTGGCTCGAAGAAACTATAATAGACTATGAAACACTGGTTTGCTCAGTTCCACAGTGTTCAAAAGTTGCTAGTTAATAGTTTTCCTTAACTGCCCTATGAATGGAAAAGATATTCTGCCTCAGGCCATAGCAAAGAACTAAACTTTGGTTGAAAGCAGAGTTGGAATACAGACTACTGCTATCAAGATGCCATCTACATACATCAGTGCAACAATCTCTTTCAGTATAAGAGTACTGCATTGGGATTCCAAAAGATTATCCCACATAGCCATACTATGCTTCTACATGCGAAAATTCTCATGAGGGAGAGATGGAAAAAAAGAAAGGTCTGGGACAGGCTAATATGACTGGAAAGGCATGTTTTTATTGTTTTCAATAATCTCACTCCCAGTTACATATACAGCAAGATGATCCTTGTAATACTGGGGGGGGGTTTCCTTTAAGAATTGAGTGCCCTCTGCTGGATTGAAAAATGTGTACGTTAGGAACATACATTCATTTTTACTTCCCATCTTTCTTTTCTCTCCTGAAAATTTTACTTCTCTGTTGCATGAATGAGAAATGTAGGAGTTTTTGATTGTGAGGTATCATATTTACTTATTTGGGACACACTTAGAACCTGAACAAACAAGACATATAATTTCTCCTGAATCCAGTGACTCCACTTTTTTCTGGATAATGATCAAAGTGAATATTGAGAACAGCTTGTCCTAGCACAAAGTATATTAGTGCATGCATGACAATTGTGGAAAAAAACAAAAAAGGGGAAACGAAAATGCCACATATGAATGTCATTCTAAAATCTCAATGTCTTGAATCACAACAGAACATACAAGCTGCGTCAAGGCAGTCTCTCTCTTTGCTTCATAGCTATGCACATTATATAACCCACAGTTTGTACAAGTTGGCACATTGGCTCAAAACAGGCTCTGGAATAGCAGAATTGTACAAATAAAAAATGAAGGGCTTTGGCAAAACTATCCAGGAAATCTTTACAACAGAATGTGTCTGCGTTCTGCATGTCTTTAGGCAATGTTTTCATAAAGCAATACATTCATCCACAAAAATGCATGGGAGGATAATTGACAAATTGTTTTTGGACTACAATGTAGTCTACAGTTTATTAGTCGATTTAATATGGTGCAGGGGCCAAATGAACTGCAGTAAACACAAAATTTTGGCTCTTGATAGGCTGAACACAGTTATATAAACAGTCTAAAGTTCTACTAAAAATAGTTCTGTGCTTTTTTCTTTGAAATAATTTCTTTGTATGACGTAATGCGCTCCGCTTAGGAAAGCACCTTGTGACCATTTGAAGCTACAGTTTGTCCAGAGTATCTGATAACATCTTGTCTAATAACACCAGTGGCTCTGGGCTTCCAGGTAGAATTCAAGGTTTTTATTTTGACCTTTAAAGCACTCCTATATGGTTTTGGTCTAATGTTATTTTAGAGATTGCTTCTTTCATTATTCCATACTATCACAGTTGTGATCAGTAGAGTTGCTCGAAATGGAGCTCCCTTGACAGAGATGAGAAGGAGCTGCCAGAAAGGCACTCTCTGTGAGGGTCACTCGACTATGGAATAATGCTTCCTTCTTTGGTCTTCTGGAATCCAAACTGGTTAACCTTCCAGATGTGTTGCAAGGCTCCCCTATTTTCAGGGGTATGTGGGGAGGGAACAGGATGAGGTGAGGAGAATTTGTGAATTATGCTATAATAGTTACATGGTGGGAACAAAGTATAATTGTATAAGATGGCAGTGAATTTACTAAACCACTGATTGTTACATATAATGAAAGGAGAGCCTGAAGTAATGGACAGATGGTCCTAGTAGGTATGGCTTTCTTTTTTTAATTGCAGTGTTGAAACACAAATATTGCAGTACTAAGTGACTACATAAAGTGAAACTGATTTCCATTGTCGGAGAGGAGAGAAATAAAGAGCATAAGTACTAACAAGTGATCTGTATTTCAAAACTTTCATACAATATTAACTTAAATATTATTTTAATAATATTAGGAATATGGGTAAACAAACTTGTTTACAACATTTTTAAGTTGACAGTTCCCTTTAAGAAAGTGGTGTTGGAAGGGTTCAAAATGAAGTCATGCCCTGACCTTTCTCAAACAGAAGCGTGGTGGAACCAAAGGGGAACAGACCATTTCAGGATCACAAAGGAAAAGCGGAAGACCTCCTGGCCTCCCAGAAAAAAAAAAAAAAAAAAAAAAAAAAGCATTTTTAACAATGGTATACGCTGGATAAAGTTAGCATTCAAGGATATAACTAAGTTGAAAAGTCTAGGCAGTGTAGCTTTTTTATATTTAATCTTAGAAAAGGAAGCTTATTTCATTAAAAAGGCCAAGTACTGTAGAAAATTTGTTACTTGACATTTTCTTTCTGGGACTAATCTCTTCCCCAGACATTCAGACTAAACCTCACTTCCTGCAAAGGCTGGAGGCAGTTTAGTCTTTTCCATGAGGCTATAGGGCTCAGCCAACCCCTGGAGAATCTCTGTGCTGGAAACTGAAGCTGCAGTTAATGACGGATGGAAGACACCTGATTCCACGATACCCTGGAAATCACTATCTGCATCTTATCAAATCTTATAAATATGAAGGAGGCATCACTGCAATACATTTTGCTACTCCTGATGTAGCCATCTGGTTCAATCAACTTCAGGTGAAATTGTAGGTTGCTGCTCTCCACCAGTCATACAAAAGAAGAAGAAGCTCTCTGTTGTCTACAGAGGAAAGAAGTTCCAGTGATCAGGGCACTAGCCTGGGACTCTGAAGAACTGGGTTTGATTCTGTGCCACAGACTTCCTGTGTGTCTCTGGTCAAGTCACATAGTCTCTGTGTCTCAGCTTCCCACCTATAAATGGGGATACTTCCCTATCTGAGAAGTTTTCTAGGCACAAGTACATTAAAGATTGCAAAACACTCAGATGCAGTAGTAATGGATATCATAAGTACCCACAGTAGATAAGATTAGATAGACTAGATAGGGAAACTAGTTCTCCTATGTTCACCTCAACTATTGGGTGGATTATTCTTGAAAGAGGATCAGGGAACGCTCTTTCAAGTTTATGATGAACCTGCGTACTTGGTGTATAGAAGGGGTCCTCTTGGGTCACTTCCTGCAAGATCCTCAAAAATAGTGTTCTGGTAAATATGTCATCTAAGAACAGGTTTAAATGAGCCTGTAGAATCCTTAGCTGAACTGTTAGCAGAACCAACATCTTTATAAACATGCTGTGAATAAGTTGTTAGAGAACACTCCTGAGTCCAGAACTTCCATTTGGAAAGAAAACTGAAAGGATTATTTGCCCAGCAGCTCAGTTACTTAATTTAAGAACCTGGGATGATACCTTGAGTTTTTCTTTTGGAGGTGGCCTGGACCTTGGACTCGGGGGGGAGGGGACGGGGGGGGGAGGGTTTGGGCTTTACCCTGAAGAATCGCTTATTAGGAAGGATGATTCACTTTGTGGAGTTTTAAGACGTGAAGAACAGGATTGATCTTCCCTTATGGAGAGGTTTCTGGAAGAGCCTTTATTGATATGATGGGAAGCAGAAACCCTAACAAGCCATTCCTTGGAAGAAGAAGGGTTTGCAGATTGGGAGTAATCATGGCAGTGCTGTCTTTTTTATTACGCTTGAGAGTCTCCTTGTAGATGGAGCTCCACTTTATCTTCTGATTGCTCCATCTGATTTTACTCCTGGGGGCATTCTGCACCAAAAAATTAAAAATTCTGTGCTCAATATTTTAAAATTCTGCAAATTGTATTTGTCAAAATAACACTACGTAATCATGCCAGTTTCAATTATTTTGGTAATTTATTTCAAAATACCTGTCAGCAAGTATGTCTGTAATAAAACAAACACACAAAAATTCTCCCAGGAGGAGAGTTAAAGAAACCCCTATGACAACCCAGTTCCTGTTTCTCTGCCCCTTCCCTCCCTTTCCCCAGAGTCCAGCAGGGGGCCAGACACCCACAACCCTCTCCTCCCCCCACAGCCCATCAGCAGCCCCCCCCCAGCCAATACACCCAAACCCTCTCTTCCCCAGAGCCCAACCACAGCTCCCCCCCCCAACCCAGATTGCATCCGGTCCTCCCACAGAGCCCAGCTGCAGAGCCCCCCCTTGCCCATGCAACCATCCCACTCCCCCCCAGGGCCCAGGGATCCACAGGGAGAAACAGCCTAATGCTTGGTCCCAGGCTTGCACGGAGTTTCCTGCGTGCCACCCTCTCCCTTCCATCAGGACATGCTGGGAACTGCAGCTGCCAGGAACCCTCTAGTTCCCTCTCTCTACCCCCAGCAGTGTCTTCTATTTGCAAGCTGGGGCTCTGCTGAGTCCAGTGGCCCCTAGCAACACTGCAGCCCATTTCTATGGGGGAAAGGAAATTCTGCATGCACAACATTAATTTCTGCAAAATTCTGCGTTGCGCAGTGGTGCAGAATTCCCCCAAGAATATGATTTATTCTGTCATAAGGGAGTCTATGATAAGGCAGGAGGCTAAACCACCACCACTGGAGTCAAAGAAAGACACAAAGGGCTTGGTCAGGACCAGGAGCTTGTTGGAAAAGCCTGAGCTAGCTTTGTTTACTGCAACAGGTGCAGCCAAAATGTCTTGGATTAGGAGAGAAGTGAGGATATTGAAAGGAAGTTAGCAATTCAGAGGAGGGCAGACCTCAATGCAACAATATCATCAGCTTTCCAACAATGGGACATGCATTTATATTAACAGTGTAAGAGTGATAGGAAAAAATATGGTCATTTTACCTTCAAATAGGACCGGAGAGAGAGCCACATTTTTATATTTTGCACTTTCTTCAGCCGGAAGTGAGGAATCTCTGATTTTCTTGCCCTTCTAGCAGATGTTAAATGACCAAAGAGTTTGGCAAAAAGAAGCCTCTACGAGAGACGAACAAAATTTTACAGTTAAGTTATTATAAATTCATTAAAAAATGCAGTGAAACAAAGCTGAGCTCAACACGGCTTATCAATTTAGTTTCATATATTAAATATGCTACTTTAAAGAGCAGAAATACAAGTAGTGCTATACTAAAAAGAATACATCAATAAATTGTATTAATCCATTAATACTACAGAATAGGAAAATTTAACTGAGCTTGCCTGAAAATTTGCATTTTACACAGATCCATTACCAAGAGAGCTGGGCAAAAGTTTATCGGCAGAAAAATGCAGTTTTGGGTAAACCAAAAGTATTCATGAATTCATGTCACGTTTACTGAATAGTTTCGACCACACACACACACACACACACAAAACAAAAACAGGACACATGCTTAGTGAGATTCCAAAGAAGCAGGGGCTTCTTCCCTTGAGAGGACTACAGAGTACAATGCACCTCTCATTGACTGTTCCATCAGGAAGAATTTTAAACACAGCTCTCTGGCTTTCAGGATGCATTCTGAAAAAGACTTATAAAATCACATACTTTCTGGGCTTATGGCCTTTTCCCAGGGGGAAAAAAAAAGGCACTTATTGTGTCCATCATTTATTGGAATGATGCACAACAGCCAGGTTTCAAAACCTGGAAATTCTAAGTCAGCCATAGGGCTGATAGACCTGGTACTGGGGCAGCTAAATAAAAACAACCTATGTGTATATATAGGTATATATACATATATATATATACACATATACACACACACACACACAGACATATATTCATTTTTATCAATGGGCTAACAACATATATAAAAAATAAAGAAAAACTAAGTATTGTAATTACACTAGCTATATAGCCACACAGAGACTACAGTAGCTAAGATGACAATGAGGTTGGTCTGTCTCACTGTCACAAGCTATAAGAAAAAACTGAGTGGTGGTTCGGGGGCAATTCCACCCTTTATGCCACTGAGCATGTTTGGTGGGGGCGGCGGGCAGAATGGCATGCAGAGTCCATTTGCAGTTCTAATAGACACTGCTACTTAAAAGATTTCCATTCCTTTGTATAGGGCACATATGTACTGGGATCAACATGCACAGATACTCGAAGAATCTGTACTTTTAAGCATGGCAACCCAGAGTGAAAACTGAGCAAAACAGCCTGGTAAGGAGCAGGTGACCTATAGCTAGTTTCTTACGTGTGGTAGGAAATCTCCATTTCTCTATTTTAGTACAGTGGTTCTCAAACTTTTGTACTGGTGACCCCTTTCACATAGCAAGGGGTGCGACCCCCCCTTATAAATTAAAAACACATTTTTATATATTTAAATACCATTATACATGCTAGAGGTGAAGCGGGGTTTGGGGTGGAGGCTGACAGTTCGCGACCCCCCATGTAATAACCTCGCGACCCCCTGAGGGGTCCTGACCCCCAGTTTGAGAACCCCTGTTATAGTATCTTCCTAGGGAAGATTGGGAGGGATAAGTAGTTATAGCTTGTGTACAGCAGCCACCGACCTCCTAATTATAGTTTCATAGAACTCCGTATTCTGCCTGAAAGATTATCTGTCTTTTTAAAATATATAATTGTATTATTTAATCCCTTAACTCTGATATGGACAACAGGCCTTCCTTCCTTAAGGAAAAATATCCCCCTCCCCAAGTCTTTGGTTTGGTCTTTTCCACCTTTATCTGCCAACCCATGCTCTATGAAGGTGAACAGGGGAACTTCAGAGAGAGAAACACAATTAAGCTAAGACACTCTTCCAAAAAGATTTCCAAGTGGCTAGCAATCTCTCTGCCCTCAGCAAGCAGGGCTCATTGTCTTGTCTCCCCAGTACAGATCCCTTCTGGATCTCTCAGGTAAGGTACTCAGGGATTCAAGAATGGACTCCCCAGAGGCGCTAATCCTATCTACTGTACGGAATCTATAAAAAACAGATCGTTCTACATTTCCCTGGATAGCCCCAGCCTGGGATATCAGTAGGGATCCCTTGGGAGGCCTGTTGTTGAGATGGCAGCCGGGAGAGGAAGCTGGGCCTGACTATCCAGTGTTGGCAGTGTCCATGCTATAGCCAATGCCCTCCATACACTGCCTGAGGAGAGGCAGAAGAGGAGAAGACATCTGAGCTCCTCAGTCAGGCGTGTGGCTGCTGACATGGGCTCTAACGATTTAGACACTATTTTCCATCTGCAGCACGGCCCATCTGGCATCACTCCTGTTGTGAAAACAAGGGAGGGGGAGCTGCTTGCCCCTGGAGATGGCTATTCCAATCCTGCCTGACTCCTTTCCTGTACGGCAGTGTTTCCCAAACTTGGGACGCCGCTTGCGTAGGGAAAGCCCCTGGCGGGCTGGGCCTGTTTGTTTACCAGCCCCGTCCGCAGGTTCCGCCGATTGCGGCTCCCACTGGCCACGGTTCGCTGCTCCAGGTCAATGGGAGCTGCTGGAAGTGGCGTCTCAGCCCGCGCTGCTTCCAGCAGCCCCCATTGGCCTGGAGCAGCAAACCGTGGCCAGTGGGAGCCGCGATCGGCGGAACCTGCGGATGGGGCAGGTAAACAAACCGGCCCGGCCCTCCAGGAACTTTCCCTACACAAATGGTGTCCCAAGTTTGGGAAACACTGCTGTATGGGGTACAGGGGGAACTTCAGCTCTGGGACATGGCTGAGAATCAGTTGGACAATTATTGAGCTAAAGTGTTAATCAGAAATTTGAAATAAAAGGTGAAAGTTTTCCTCAGAAAAAACTGTAGCAGGGATATCTTACTGAGTCACTGGTTGTAAAAGAGGCTGATAAAACTAGAGGGAACTTCAAAGGGCAAGGTGTTCCACATCTGCCAGTGACTGACAGGTCTGGTTCTGCCCCCCAAGACAATTAGTCTGAAGTGTCCACTGTAATGGATCTGTGGACCTTAGCACCAAGAAGAAACAGTTTAAATTATTTATGCCCAACAAAACTCATGAAGCATAATACTTCGTTTTCTTTTTCTTCCATAAAGGAAATGTAATAAAGAGAGGCTTGATAGAATACTTACCTGTTTGTATGTTCTCTCTGCTACACATAGCAGAAAAAAGAAAATCCATACAAGGGACACACGGACTACAAAACTTATTATAACCATAGAAAGAACAGGTATGTCTCCATTTGACCCAAATGCAATAATATAAAGTTCAGTAGCAGAATGTGTAGCTAGCTGTTCCAAATCCTTAGCTTGGGAAAGTCGAAATATAAATGGAGTTAAACCCAGGATTAAAGAGATTACGTTTCCAAAAATCTGGTATCCTATTCCTGGCATGTGGCTGTTCACCTAAAAATGGGAGAAATAAAGTTATCCATTTATTATCAGAATTAATCTCATGCCTGTTAGTGTCAACAATTTAGTTATTACTTCAGTTTAGCAATGGCAGTTCAAAAAAAAGCCATACAAGATGTAAAATATTTATTAAACACCTTCAAAATGTACTGTTATAGAAACAGTATACCTTGAATATACAAAATGACAATGAAACTGAGGTTGAGGATGGATAGGTAGCTCCAGAAACAGGTGAAAATAGTTAAATGCACACTGAAAATAAAATTAGTAAATACATTTAACCTATAAATTGTTTTTTATAAGGAACTAAAACAGATAAGCTGAGTAATTTTATTAAAAATAAAGACAACAGTGAAATAACATATGTGCCAATCAACCTAATTTCTTTGCTTACATGTTGTATCTTGTTCACCTTCCCTGCATCTTTGTCTTTTTAGAATGTAAGTTCTTTGCAGGGACAATGTCTTCCTAAATGTTTGTATGGCACCTAGCACCATGAAACCCCAATCCTGCCTGGGTCTTTTGGTGTTATCACAATATAAATAAATAATAGAGGGCTATATTGTCTCTGTGGATAAGGCACATGTGGTTCACCTAAGCGTGTAACTGTGTTGCCTTCTAATGACTTGTCCACAGAGAATAATGTTCTCAATACTGCTAAAACAAATGACGGTTCTCTTTAGCTAAAGCTGTGTATGTCTGGATTTGGTATTGAAGTCTAGTCTATCTCTGCTGGTGTCCATATTGGTAGTATTGGTACAGCATATGCAGGGGTAGTCAACAGGCGGACTGCAGGCCAAATCCAGACCACCAGATGCTTTTGAATGGACCCCAAAATCTTTATTTACCGGTACTTATTATCATTATAGTTATTTAAAAAAAAAAAAACTTCTGGCGTCTGGACCTTGACAAAAAAATAACTGACTACCCCGACATATAGGGTCATATCGGGCTTCTCTTAAGAGGAGAATTTTATTTGGGAACATTTTGGTGCAATCAGACGTAGCATCCATTTTCTTAAAGATTTATTTCATAAAGTAAGCAATATTTTTTCCAACCTTAACTCTAGTTTTCAGCTATTTATATCTATAGCTGTATCTCTAACATATTTCTAATTTTTGATATTCACATAAAACCCAGAAGTGAAATTGGCTGTTCCTAAGAGTTGGGGGACCAACATTCACAGAATGTTCAAGTGCCTGGAAAAAAAAACAAATAAAGACTAACAATTAAGCTCACACTATGGATATATAGTAATTCGAATCTAAAATACATGGTTTTAAGATTGGAGATTCAATAGCTCTTGTAACCACTGATGGTGACAAAATAAAATCAGAATGAGATCTCATGGAGCAAGATTTCTAAAGATATTTGCTGGAGATTATCAAAGAGAAAATCTGCCCAAAACAGGATAATTCTGAGTGCTACTTATAGTTTGCATGGAGTAAAAGGAAAAGAATACTCACTCTGTTCATTATCATGCCGCTGATTTCAAGCACTGACATATCAGCTTTCTTGCAATCATTACCCTCCCATACAATAGCGCTTACTTTTTCTAGTCCTGGATTGGAACTATGGAGCCAGGGCAAATGACTCTATAAAAAGCAAGGATATTCATTTGTATATAATAAGTATTGTATAGTTCACCAACAAAATTTACTGCTGACAAAAGAAATTACATCAGATTGTGTCTTGAATATTGTAAAGAGCTTTCATGTGTACCAGATCATCACAGAATCAAAAATGCAAGATTGGAATGGACCTTGAGAAGTATCTAGTCCATCCCCCTGTGTTGAGGCAGGACTAAGTACACCTAGACTATCCCTGACAGGTGTTTGTCTAACCTGTTCTTAAAAACCTTCAATGACAGGAATTCTACAACTTCACTTGGAAGACTAGTCCAGTACTTCACTAATTCTCTCTTGCTGCAGATTAAGCCCATTATTTCTTGTTTTATCTTCAGTGGGCATGGAGAACAATTGTTCACAATCCTCTTTATAACAGTCCTTAACACATTAGAAGATTATCAGTACCTCCCCTCCCATCAGTCTTCTTTTCAAGACTAAACATGCACAGGTTTGTTTGTTTTTTAACCTTTCCTCATAGGGCACCAGTCAGTTTTCAGAATTGACCTTCCTCAATCGCCTACGTCCAGGGCCGGCTTTATGACCAGTGGGGCCTGATTTCAATACCCGGCGGTAGTCCGGGGCTTCAGCGGCATTTTGCGGCGGGGGGGGGGGGTCCGCTCTGGGTCTTCCGCGGCACCGAAGGACCCCCCCGCCGCCGAAATGCCGCCGAAGACCCCCGGAGCGGACTCCCCCACTGCCGAAATGCCACCGAAGACCCCCGGAGCGGGGCCCTCTTAGGCACGGGCGCGGGGCCCGATTCCAAGGAATCGGCTTAAAGTCGGCCCTGCCTGCATCCCTTCCGGTCGGCATGGTCACAAGTAACCTCAGACTGTTGGGTGTTCGGTATAATATATCTGGGCTACAACCTGCAATTCCTTGAGTGCATCCTCAAAAGGAGTGATTCTGGATCCCCTGGTGTTTCGCCAGGCAGGCTGAGCGGGCAAATGGGAGGTGGAGAGGCAACAATGACTGAACCCTCTGTCTCCGTCTCCCTGGCAGGGTTTCTTTAGGAAGAGGGGCAGGGGTGGCTGGAACTGCTTTCTTCCCATTTGCGGCATACGTAGACCTAGCGAGCAGAGGGTGGCTCAAGAATTGTTGAGTCCATGCAGCCTCGCATCCGTCTGCTCTGAAAAGAGCCCGTTTGCTTCAATGGGAAGGTTATGGATGGAGGACTGGGTTTCCTGGGACAACTTGAGGACTGAAGCCAGGAACTGTGCCTCATCACTATGGCCAAAGTAATGACCCTGGCTGTCGAATCAGCTGTGTCCCAGGCCCTCTGGAGAGAGCCCCTCACTACCACAGTAACCTCCTCCAGGATGGTAGCAAATTCCTGAGGCAGGGAGTCTCTGAACTTCTTGACGGAGTCCCACAAGTTAAAACTGTATCTCCCCAACAAAGCTTGGTGGTTCAAGACTCTAAACTGAAGGCTGGCTGTTGAATAAGCTTTTCTTCCAAAAAGGTTCACCCTCCAGGCATCTTTGTTTTGGGGGTTGGAACTCACTTGCCCTTGCCTGTCCTTTTCGTTGGCCGCAAATACAACAAGCAACCCTGGGGGTGGGTGGGTATACAAATACTTGAACCCTTGAGCGGGGATGAAATGTTTCTTTTCTACCCCCTTGGAGGTGGGTGGGAATAGAAGACGGGATTAGCCACAGGGCCTTCGCGATCTTTAGAACCCCTTCATATACCAGCAGTGCAACCCATGATTGGGCTGCCACTGTTAGAACGTCAAAAAAGTTGTCTGATTGCTCCACCAGTTCCTCCACTTCTGAGCCCAAGTTCGAAGCCACCCTTCTAAGCAGGGCTTGGTGCTCTCTAAAGTCATTGGGCAAACTAGCATGTGAGGGTCCCACTACAGCCTCATCTGGTGACAAGGATGATGATTGCACCACTGTGGAAGGGCCTGGGGCACTGTCCCCCGTAGGGGAAGGCTCCCTTGTTGTGCACACCTGCTCCTCTACCCCAGCATCAGAGTCCGGGCTGCGCACCGAACTTGGTACTGTCGGTGGAGGGAGTTGCTTCTCCGAAGCCACAAGGGAGGACTGGTGTGAGAAAGGCATCAGCATCGCCGGCATACCCCAGACATTTCAATAAGGCCATTGGGCTGGCCACTGGCCCCTGCTGCCATGCTGGCACCATAGGAGCCAAGACGGTTTCTGGCACCCACAGGGGTCGCTGCTGCTGTGGCAAGAGGCTAAAGTCTCACTCCGACCCAGATGAGTCCCTTCCGGTGACGAAGGCAGGGCTGTAAATGCCTGGGTCTGGCAGCTGATACTAAGTGCAGCGGAGCAGTGCCTCGAATAAGGTGATTAGCGCCTCTCCAAGGACCGGTGCCGGGGACGTAGATATCGGTGCTGCGAAGGTGAGTGGTCGTGTACCAGTGGAGAACAATGCATGGATAGAGACCTAAGCTGGGGTGTCAGCTGGTGGGAGGATGATCTGTGCCTCACTGCAGGTGATCCGCGCTGCGCTGGTGGAGACCAGGACCGCAGTGCCGGCAACCTGGACCATCTGACCGGAGACCTCAGTCACGGAGTCGGGGAGCGCTGCCTCTGCTATGGGGACCGACAGCATTCGGCTGCCCTCTGAGGTGGTCCCGTGGCTTTTCTACACAGTGCAGGAAGGGCTCTCTGGTCCCTAGCCACCAGGAGGGCCTCAGACGTCAAAGGCACTACCAGGTACCTGGGTCCCCTAACGCTCTCAAGAGTCGGATCCCTGGAGGGGAGGGAGAGGGGGGGCTGGGGGGTCCAGATGGAAAGGCACCCCCCTTGAGGCTCCGGAATGGGCAGGCAGCCTGCACTGGGTCCTTTGCCCAGTGCCCCTTGTCCTTTCTTGTTCAGTGCCAGGGAGCCTCTCTTTTTCAGCACCAGCAAAGAGGAGTGGTGCCAGGAGGAGCTCGGTGCCAGCGATGCGCTCCTCACCAACGCCAAGGTGCTAGGCATGGAGTCATAGGAGGAAGGCTCCAAGGCTGGACAAAACGTGGACTCCATGAGGAGGGCCCTCAGACAAATGTCCCACTCCTTTTGAGTTCCGGGACGAAAGTTTTTGCAAATTCAACACTTGTCCTTTATGTGCGACTCTCCCAAGCACTTTAGGAAGCTGCCATGGGGGTCGCTAACAGGCATAGGCCTATTGCAGTATGAACAGGGCTTGAAACCTGGAGACCGGGGCATGCCCCACCCCGGGGTAAAGTCCCTGCAAGGACTCTAACTTACTAACTCTTACAACTTAACACCTAATTACTAACTAACAGCTATATACAAAAAGAAGAGACAATAGGTACTAGAAAAACCACTATCCACTTGGGGGGGGCAAGGGGAAGGAGCTCCGACCTATGTGGTAAGAAGGAACTGAGGGGGTGTAGTGCTGGCGGCGCCTCATATACCGGTGCATGAGCACAGCACTCCAGATGGCTCCACAGCTGGCCCAATGGATACTGCCAAGGCAAAAAATTCCGACAACTGTGCACGAGGGCGCGCACACATCTAGAATGGAATCGACACGAGCAAGCACTTGAAGAATCTGTTGAACTCTCTCCATTGTGCAAACTGACGGTTTCCTATGTTTCGAGCAGTTACTGATTCATGAGAGGACCTTTCCTCTTAGTCCATGTTTGCTTACGAGCTTTTGGTGAGGGACCTTGTCAAAGGCTTTCTGAAAATCCAAGTATACTGTATCTACTGGATCACTCCTATCCGCATGCTTGTTGACTCCCTCAAAGAATTTTAATACAGTAAAAACTTTGTTACCAGGCATGTTGGCGGAAAATGGGGGGGTGCCGGTAAGTCAAAAATTGTGGTTAACTAAAAGGGAGGGAGTTTGGGTGTGGGAGGGGGCTCAGGGCTGGGGTGCGGGAGGAGGTGCGGGCTCTGGTAGGGAGTTTGGGTGTGGGAGGGGGCTCGGGGCAGAGGGTTGGGGCACAGGAGGGTTTTTGGGGTGCCGGATTCGGGTGGCATTCACCTTGCGCGGCTCCTTGCAAGAGGTGACATGTCCCTGCTTCTCCTAGGTGGGCACTGGCTCCCACAGCTCCCATTGGTCACATTCCCCGGCCAGTGGGAGCTGCGGAGCCTGTGCTCAGGGAGGGGGCAGCGCACGGAACCCCCATGGCCATCCCTCTGCCTAGGAGCATTGACTGTGACCAGTGGGAGCTGCGGGGGTGGTGCCTGCAGGAAGAGGCAGCCTGGCCATGCCTCCACCTAGGAGCAGCAGGGGCATGTCGCTGTTTGCGGGGAGCTGCCCAGATCCGGCACCCCAAAAATCCCTCCTGTGCCTCAACCCCCTGCCCCAAATTCCCTCCCGCACCCAAACGCCCTTCCAGAGCCCCCTCCCGAAATGCTCGTTTATAGAGCTTTCCAATTGGTAAAGTGCCAGATAACAGCTTTTACTGTATATTGGTAAGGCATGACTTCCCTTTACAAAAGCCGTGTTGACTCTTCCCCAACATATTGTGTTTATGTATGTGTCTGATAATTCTATTCTGGTACTATAGTTTTTACCAAGTTTTCCCAGTACTGAAGTTCAGCTCACCCAGGATCTCTGCTGGAGCCTTTTTTTTTTTTTTTTTTTTTTAGATCAGCATTACATTAGCTACTTTCCAGTCATCTGGTGCAGAAGCGGATTTCAGTGATAGGTTACATACTACAGTCAGTAGTTCTGCAATTTCATATTTCAGTTCCTTCAGAACTATTGGGTGGATATCATCTGGTCCTTGTGACTTAATTTGTCAATTTATTTTAAAAAAAATCTTCAATTGATACATCAATTTGGGACAATACTTCAGATTTTTCACCCCAAAAGAATAGCTCCAGTGTGGATCCCACGTCCTCTGCAGTGAAGACCAATGCAAAGAATTTATTTAGCTACTCTGCAATGGCCTTGTCCTCCTTGAGGCTTCTTTAACACCTTTGCCATATAGAGGCCCCACTGCTTATGTAGCAGGCTTCTGATGTACTTACATCAATTAGTAGTAGTTTTTGCATCTTTAGCAAGTTGCTTCTCAAATTCTTTTTTGGTCTGCCTTACATTTTTACAAGTTACTTGCCAGAGTTTGTTCTCCTTCCTGTTTTCCTCATTAGGATTTGACTTACAAATTTTAAAGAATGTCATTTTGCCTCTAATGGTCCCCATTACTCTGCTATTAAACCATTGTGTGATTCTTTTCGTTCTACTACTCTTTTTTTATTTGGGATCTACATTTAATCTGAGCCTCTATTATGATGTCTTTAAATAGTCTCTGTGCTGCTTGCAGGCCTTTTACCCTTGTGACTACTCTTTTTAATTTCCATAAGTGAAGTTAAATGTTACTGTAATGGGTTTGGTTTTTTTAATATTTCCCCTTCCTACAAGCATGTTAAATTTAATTACATTACTGTTACTATTACTGAGCTGTTCAGCTATAGTTATTTCTTGGACTAGATCCTGTGCTTTACCTAGGACTAAATCAAGAATTGCCTCTGCCTTTGTGAGTTCCAGGACTCGCTTCTACAGGAAGCAGTCATTTACGGTGTCTAGAAATTTTTTCTCTGCATCATGCCCTAAGATGACATTTACCCAGGCAATATGAAGATACTTGAAATCACCCATTATTTCATTCTTTGGTTTTGTAGGTTCAGATGTCATAATTAATATATTTATGCTATCTGGAGCTTTTTAGAAGTCTAGGGCTTCGTCTATGTTATATCTACACTTGGAGCACTTTACTGGTGTAGGAATACTGGAAAATGCTCCTATTGGGAACGCAGCTATACTTGCAAAACAGTCTATATTTGAGGCATCTGCTGGCACAGCTATGCTTTGCCTCTGAAAATGCCTTACCCCAAAATACAACTTGGGAAGGCTAAAGAGTAACAAAATGTCTGGATGTGCTGGTGATCTTGGGAGAACCTGGTTTCTCCCAACGCCTTCAAAGACACGGACATAGGTGTACTCTAAGGCCCTATCTGTACTTGCAGCGGTATGTAGGGTGTGTGTAGCTACATGCTGTAGTAAAAAAGCAGGCTGTGTCCACACTGTGGCATGTAGCTACACACAGCAATGAAAAACTGTGGCAGGGAGGAGGCAGAGGAAAGTTGCCAGAGACTTTCCTTGCTGCTACCCACTGTGACAGGTTGCACAAAAAATTCCTGGTGGTGGCATGCGGCCACAGTGGTCGCATTTGAGAAACACTGGCCTATGCAAAAACTTGAACAGTGGCGTAATACTCCCTCTAATTGAAGAAATTTAAAAAGAATATTGAAAGGGTATAGCTTACTAGTTCACCTTGTAATAAAATTGAGGTAATTTTTTTTTAACTGTTTAAAGCTAGATCTTTTTCACAGAATGGCTTTCCTACTATTCATTTGGATTCTTCCTATTGTTAAATGCTACTCACTCACTGGTCAAATCTTCAGTGTTACTGAACAGACAGTGAACTACACATTACTAAAAGGATCTTTAATCTGGTTAGTTGACGGGACAGAGTGGAGTGGAATTTAAAAATGATATCAAGGATTTTCCTTTCATGGAGTAAAAACACTGGGAGCATTATTTCTTTTTTTTAAATCCACAAATGAACATTTTCTGTGCAAAAACAAACAACTGCAGAAAAGTAAAGATAGCAGATCTGATGTAATACCATTGTATTGCGAGTTCGCTTAAATTTCATATCAAGAATAAAATAAGTGAAGTGTAACTATACATAGAAGAAAAGATAGTAAATAATAAAATTAAAAGCTAAACTGCAATCTCCATTTTGATTAACATATATGCAAATTAAAATATTCAATTTATATTGGAAAGTTATTTTTTCAGGGTTTTTTTTTTTTTTTTTTTTTAAACGTAACAACACAGCTGCTGAATTTGTTTAAAAATAACTATTTAGGAACTATATGCAAATCATATAGGAACCAAAACTACAATATTAATTACAAAACAGAATATATATTTTAGATAAACTGATGAATTTTAAACACTTTTAATGCCCATATTTTCTAAATATGCATTTGAATGTATATAATTTTCATTTACAGCCCCATATGTAAACTAAAAATGTCTCTAAAAAGTCCTGTCTGATCTGTGTCTAATTCAAAGATTAATTTCCTAAATCTGCACTGCAGTAAGGAAGTATAATAGCTCTGATCATCATCATGTGATTCATGAACTGTATGATTGTCTTACACTTATCTATTAATAGATATTGCCCCTAAAACAAACAATTAACCTAAAAATAAAATATGTTAAAGTTATGCTGAGTTAGAAGCAAGTTAAAAGCTGTGGTGCCTTATGAGAGTTGTAGTTTTGGTGCTTCATGACCCCCATATTCCCTCTATGGGCTAAGCTCCCTAGCTGGACTACATCTCCCATGATAAAATTTTCCTTGTTTTAAAGGATTTAAATCAGAACTTTGCAACTAATTCAGCATTTAATTTTCATTTAATGTAAGTTTCTCTCCCCAGTTCTAACTCCTGAACACTTCATAAAGCTGTTAGGAGTGCAGGTAGCAAGTATTCCTTTAGATAATAAAAATAATTACAGGACACCAACCTGATGAAATGGGTCATCTCTATATTCTTTTTTCACACAAGGATTAACTTGAGGGTTTTCTACATCTGTCTCACTGGTACAGGAAGACCGGCACTCTGCACAGTGCAACAGATCTTCCCAGAGCACATCTTCTGTTTCCGATTCAGGTCTTGTGCTCTCAGAATCTTGTCTGGAACTTGAACATCGTGAACTGCAACTAGTACCTGATTTAGGGGTATCCTGCAATTAAGATATACACTGGCATTAATTCAGTTTACATATTCCACCCTGTTTATTTAAAATGCCAATTACTAAGTTCAACTATAATAAATCCACTCTTATTTTAATTTTCCAGTTTCACTGGAAATACAACCATAAACAGTACAAGTATTATTAAGAAGAACTAAAGTTAATCTGTTCAAACTGTTGCCTTTGTAGGCTACAAATAATTATTACACACTACAGTTTAAATATTCCAGTCTACCCCTTCCACATAAGTATTCTAAATGTGAAACAGAAATTGAGGCTTGGGTCATGTACATAGAATTAACATAGAAATAGGACTGAGAATCAAGAAACCTTCATTCATAACAATATTTTTTAAAAAGGCAGATGAACTTTTTTGTCAGCATTTGCTGATTCTTCATCAAAATCACAACATTCCAGGGTACCATGTCAATTTTGATGAAATTTCCCCTGAAACCAGGGGATGTAGATGAAGAACCCCTTTTAAGAACATAAGAACGGCCATACCAAAGGTCCATCTAGCCCAGTATCCTGTCTTCCAACAGTGGCCAATGCCAGGTGCCCCAGAGGGAATGAACAGAGCAGGCAATCAAGTGATCCATTCCCTGTCACTCATTCCCAGCTTCTGGCAAACAGAGGCTAGGGACACCATCCCTGACAATAGCCATTGATGGACCTATCCTCCATGAATTTATCTAGCTCTTTTTTGAACCCTGTTATAGTCTTGGCCTTCACAACATCCTCTGCGTTGTGTGAAGAAATACTTCCTTTTGTTTGTTTTAAACCTGCTGCCTATTAATTTCATTTGGTGACCCATAGTTCTTGTGTTATGAGAAGGAGTAAATAACACTTCCTTATTTACTTTCTCCATACCAGTCATGATTTTATAGACCTCTATCATAACCCCCCTTAGTCACCTCTTTTTCAAGCTGAAAAGTCTCAGTCTTATTAATCTCTCCTCATAAGGAAGCCGTTCCTTACCCCTAATCATTTTTGTTGTCCTTTTCTGAATCTTCTCCAAGTCCATTCTCTCTCCTCTTTTTTTTTTTTTTTTTTTTTTTTTGGAGATGGGGCGGCCACATCCGCATGCAGTATTCAAGATGTGGGTATACCATTGATTTGTAGAGAGGCAATATGATATTTTCTGTCTTATTAGCTATCCCTTTCATAATGATTCCCAACATTGTTAGCTTTTTTGACTGCCGCCGCACATTGAGTGGATGTTTTCAGAGAACTATCCACAATGACCCCAAGATCTCTTTCTTGAGTGGTAACAGCTAATTTAGACCCCATCGTTCTATATGTATAATTGGGATTATGTTTTCCAATGTGGACTACTTTGCATTTATCAATATTGAATTTCATCTGCCATTCTGTTCCCCAGTCCCTATTTTTGAGAGATCCTTCTGTAGCTCTTCGCAGTCTGCCTGGGACTTAACTATCTTGAGTAGTTTTGTATCATCTGTGAATTTTGCCACTGCACTGTTTACCCCTTTTCCCAGATCATTTATGAATATGTTGAATAGGACTGGTCCCAGTACAGACCCCTGGGGGACACCGCTATCCACCTCTCTCCAGTTTGAAAATTGACCATTTATTTCTACCCTTTGTTTCCTATATTTTAGCCAGTTACCAATCCATGAGAGGCCCTTCCCTCTTATCCCATGACAGCTTACTATGCTTAAGAGCCTTTGGTGAGGGATCCCCCTTGTCCACATGCCTGTTGACCCCCTCAAAGAATTCTAGTAGATTGGTGAGGCATGATTTCCCTTTACAAAAACCATGTTGACTCTACCCCAACAAATTATGTTCATCTATGTCTGACAATTTTGTTCTTTACTATAAAAACAACACGGACTAAGTTATTTGGACATAAACTTTCATGGGTAAAAAAACCCATTTCTTCAGATGCATGGAGTGAAAATTACAGATGCAGGCATTATTGTACTGACACATGAAGAGAAGGGAGTTACCTCACAAATGGAGAACCAGTGTTGACAGGGCCAATTCAATCAGGGTGGATGTAGTCCACTCCCAATAATTGATGAGGAGGTGTCAATTCCAGGAGAGGCAAAGTTGCTTTTGTAGTGAGCCAGCTACTCCCAGTCCCTATTCAAGCCCAAATTAATCGTGTTAAATTTGCAAATGAATTTTAGTTCTGAAGTTTCTCTTTGAAGTCTGTTTCTGAAGTTTTTTTGTTCAAGTATGGCTACTTTTAAATCTGTTACAGAATGTCCAGGGAGACTGAAGTGTTCCACACAAGGATGGACTTTACAAAAACAAGACAAGCCATTTACAATGCACACTTCACTTCTCTACAGAGGAAAAAGGACAGTAAACTATCTAAACTCCTATATGCCACAGGGATGCCACACTTCAAAGAGAAACTGCAGAACTAAAATTCATTTGCAAATTTAACACCATTAATTTGGGTTTGAATCACCTCTGGAGCACTTTAAAAATTATCACATTAGCTCTCCTCCAGTCATTTGGTACAGAAGTTGATTAAAATGATAAGTTAAAGACTACAGTTAGTAGTTCTGCAAATTTCACATTTGAGTTCCTTCACAGCTCTTCGGTGAATACCATCTAGTCCTGTTGACTTATTACTGTTTAGTGTATCAATTTGTTCCAAAACCACCTCTGACGACACATCAATCTGGGACAGTTCCTCAGATTTGTCACCTAAAAAAATGAATCTTGCTACCACGGTATTGGAGAAGACCGATCTTCCCTGAATGGGAGAATGAAATGTCGATAATGCTGCCAGATGCACTTTCAATATACTGAACACCAAGCCCCAACGACTGAAGATGCAGCAGGTCCTCCAAAATGTCCTGAATAGAGGCCACCATTGGTTGGATTCCACAGGTTAATGACCACACTGAAAATCGCTTCTATTTCACGGGAACAGGCCATCATGGTGGATGGTTTTCCACTGTTAAGGAGGACTTGCTGAACAGTCAAACACTGCTCTCCTTCCTCATTTACAAACAGTAAAACCCCATTTATCTGAGTCTCTGTTATCTGGCTCTCCGTGTTAACTGAACCACCAGCTGGCCTGAGGCTGGCAGCAGCAGGGCTTGGGTGGTTAGCTCTGGGCAGCTGGTGGTTCAGTTAACACAGAGAGCCAGATAATGGAGGCCTGGATAAACGGGATTCTACTGTATAACAATAAAACATTGTATTCAACTGAGACCTATATATATTGTGGCTATGAAAACTGAAGTTCAGTGTTCCATTTTAATGTCAGAAAAATGCAGATTTTCATTTTTATTTTTTTTTTAAATCGGAGAATTTTGGATTTTTAATCATGGAAAACTAGAATCCCTGGTTCTGAGTGAGTAGGTTGGGACAGGGAGGAAGCAGTATGGGAGGCTGAATACACAGTGCAAGAAGGTCAGAGAGCCAGCACTGTTTCAGCCACACTGAGAATAAGCTTGGCCTGATCCAGCTTGAGCTTAAGGATGAGCTGAGGGATGATTGGCACTGAGGGAAATAAGTACAAGGGAGCTGACCGCCAGCTTGGACTGAGGCCTCCTCAAAAACAGAACAGATGACATTTCCTGTTGTCCCTTGCAGCAAACAGGTTGATTGTTGCGATGCTCCAAGCTATGAAGATGACCCAGAGGACACTTGTTTTCAGGGACCACTCATGACTCAGGGGAAAAATACCTGCTGAGATGGTCTGTGACATGATTCTGAACCCCCAGGTAAGCCAACAGCTATTGGAGCTAATGTTCTCCACAATGCAAAACTGCCACAGCCTAATCACATCTAGGCAGAGCAACCTGGAGTGTGCCCCTGCCTTGTTTGTTCACATAGCACATTGTCGTGTCATTATCAGTAAGTATGTGGATCACTGAATCTCTGATACTGTCCCCAAAAGCATGACATGTATTGTTGATGGTGCGAAGCTTCAGCACATTGATATGGAGTGACGCCTCCTGCTCTGACTACAGTCCCTGTACATTCAGCGACCACAGCCCTGCCAGCCAGACCACCAGGTTGGCATCAGTAACAACCAACCTGGTTGGTGAAGGCCAAACAAAAGGAATGCCTTGGCAAACATTCTCTGGATGAATCCACCATTGCAAGGAGCCCAGAACCACCAAAGGAACATGAACCAGTCTGTCTAGAGCAGTGTTTCCCAAACTTGGGATGCCGCTTGTTTAGGGAAAGCCCCTGGCAGGCCAGGCCGGTTTGTTTACCTGCCGCGTCCGCAGGTCCGGCCGATCGTGGTTCCCACTTCCAGCAGCTCCCATTGGCCGCGGCAGGTGAGAGCGGCAATCGGCCAGACCCGCGGACGTGGCAGGTAAACAAACTGGCCCAGCCCGCCAGGGGCTTTCCCTAAACAAGCGGCGTCCCACTGGTCTAGAGGATTAAAAGTAGGATGGTAGATCGTCCTGAGCTACGTTTGAAAAGGGCAAAGGCACAGCCTTGGAAACTGAACCACCTGCATGCAAGAAGACATGTAGCCCAAGAGGCTCAGACATGTCCACACTGACATGGAAGGCTGAGACCGGAGACTGAGGCAAAGAGGGTGAATTACCTGAAAATGGTCTGTCAGCAGAAATACTTTTGACGTTGAGGAATCTAATATAGCCCCAATAAACTTGATTTTTTGAGTAGGAGTCAAAGTTGACTTTCCAGTGTTTAGGGTGAGCCCCAGATGGTCAAGCAAGCATAATGTGGCACTGATGTGAGCAAGAACTTCCTCTCTGGATTCGCCCCTCAGTCAACAGTCATCCAGATATGGGAAGATGTAAATTTCCTTCTTCCTAATATTTGTTGTAACAATGAGCATGCATTTGGTAAAAAACGGGGGGACGAAAGAGAGGCTAATGGAAACACTGTACTGAAAGAGGCGTTCCGCCAAGATGAATTGAAGGAGCTTTCTAAATTACCACATGAAAGTAGACATCCTGAAGGTTCAGAGCAGCAAGCCAGTTGTTCTGAGACACATAGGGAGAATACAGTAACTCCTCACTTAA